TGGTTCGATCATGTCAATTCGGCCGCAAGTATATACGCTTCGGATGACTTCAGCTACATAGGTGGTCTATTCTTTCAAATGAGTGCCTCGTTTTGTGGTGTGGCAAATAATATGATCAATACGACTTTGCAAACATTCAACTCGACTGATTTTATCATCGCCTATGCTCTCGTTGAAAGCGTGTTCGATCGACAAATTCTTGAATGTATTCAAAGCTTTCAATTTTCAATCTATGCCGCATATCAGCAACCATTCAATCTTTTTATATTTCCCATACAAAACAATCTGCTTCTATCCGGTCTCTTGAGCAATTACCAGTTTATAGTTGGTTCCGACACTTTCCTTGGTCTGTACCGCTCTTACGAATACAAGAATACCAGAACTATTCACAGGTTGTTAATTGATTGAAGCAACTCGTCGATCTTCGCTTGAATGCTTTTCCTCGATATTATGTCTTGCAACGCTTGAAGAATTTCTTCAGGCTTCTCTTGTACTGAGCAGTCCTCATTTGCCTCTTAATTCATCAATCAAAAGTAAACATAACGTCACGTCGACTGTCAATCAACTTCTCTCGGCAGCTATGCTCGAAAACTGAGAAGAAAATGTTACACATGCTCAATATTTTTCTCAATGTTAAGTCTCATCATGCACCTATTCATTCACGTCTAAACTCAACATTGTCTCCATTGTCACAACACTTATCGATCTTGTCGGTGGACTAATAAAACTTCTTCATATTGTCATTCCTCTAATCCTGAAATTTACTCGACATCGATTCTAATCACTGCCGCCGTCTACAACATCAGAGCAATCTGGTGGGAAACATTGTTCATTTCTATAATTCTCACGGCAGCAGCATACTAGTCATACATCTTGCCACTCATACATCATCGCCATGCTTGCAGCTCGAATGTGCAATGTTCTGCATATTCAGCTATTTTCCGCCGAGCTAGGGCAAGATAGTTTACAGTAGAAAAATATAATCAAATAGAGCTAGCAAAATTATGCTTGAGGTTTTTAAAGAACCGGACACAATAGATAGATTTACACAGTGCTTCACCGAGTCTTCGACTCCTCATCTTCAGGCTCAAACAACGGTGATTATATTGTGTCAGATCCACATCGTATCCGAAATGAATTCGTTCTTCAAAACGACAGACTAACTGAAAAAAACTACAAATGTTCCCTATCAAAGTCATTCTAAAAAATAAAACACATATTCTTAATTAGCTTGTCAATCTCCATCTAATTATGTATAATAGCGATGAAAAATACCTCATCTTTCTGTCAATAGTTCATCGTTCGTTGCTGCAATGTATTGTCAATTTCAATTATTTTTCGACACTGTCATCGATACCACCGAATGAGAGAGAAATAAAGCATCAACGAATTGTCATTCGACTCTTCTTTCTGTTACTAATAGTTTCATTGCTCGTTTCAATCTTCTACTATGCCGCTGATCCTGTCACTACTCTTTACGAAACCAAATCTCCCACACATGAACAATTTATCTATGCCCAGAATGACAAATATGTCAATCAATCTCTCTCTTGTCCTTGGCCAACCTTCACAATGGTATATAAAGATATAATTCAAATTGATTTTATACTGCATCCCGTCTGCTCGTCCTATTTCATTCAACCTTATTGAATCATGGTTTCAAATGGTGATATAGATAATATATACTCCAATCTTGATTTTCGTTACCTAGCAGGAGTATACTTCAATTCTTTTGCCGCCTATTGCAGTGTGGTAAATCAATACATTATTGATAATATCATGAGATTCAATGAATCATTACTCATCGCCAATCATGTACTTGCACCACTGAATTTCATAGAAGAAGCGAATGCCATCGTCAACTCGTTCATATCTTCAACGACCCGTTCTTTTACTCACGATCTTGCAGTGAGTTCGAATAGGACACACAACAATGAAATACTCAGTGCTCTATTTTCAAATTTCGCTTTACTTTTAACGGGCGCATATCCATCCATTTCATTTGGATTCCTGTATAAATTATATACGTTGTCTTCTGCAAACATGGCCATGTCTTGCTTCTGCTTCCATGCCGTACAGTGTTATGTGCCACTTTCGGGCTATTATGATATTCGACCCTGGCTTGCTTGTTCAGTCAATCATGTGTTGACTCAATGGCTCACTGGCGCAACAAGTCGTCTGTGAATGCACTCAATGTTGATAATCTTATCAAATTTAGTCCGAAGTCGACTATCGATAACATAATGTTGTACATACACAACAGTCGAACACAACTGATTTTGGTTCATCCTAACCACAATCTTCGGTATCGTTAGTGGCCTTACGAAAATGTTGTAGATGACTATTCCTCTTCTTGTTCCATATCTATTTTCGTTGTACGCTCGATTTCAGCGTCAACGGCGTCATGAAGATATTCCCAGATCACCACCTATTTCTGTCCGATTCATTCTCAACCAACTATGTCAACTCAACTTATTCTCGTCCGCCGATCTTCATGCAGACGATGAAAACAAAATCAGAGGTCAAATTATTTTCACCCCTCTTTTCATTGCTCTTCTTCTTCTTTCACTCACCATTCTAAGCATCTATTCCTCTCAAGTTCAAGTGACAAAAACTGTAACAATAACTAAAGCTTCCATGGAACAATACTCTTCACTTTATGACCAACATTCTCAAACATTCATTTGTCCATGTAGAAACATTGCCATTCCACAACAAGCATTTCTTACTCTTCAATCTACCTTTCATCATATGTGCGAAAGTAACTTCATCAATTCTCTATGGTCAACTGGTATTGTGTACACTTTGTCTATCAATGGACCTATCTTTGATCGAGATTTTCACTGCTTGAGTGGAGCGGTTTTTAATACTATTGCATCATTCTGTCAACTATTGATGGCGACAATCAATGAGGATCTCTTGGATTTTGGTTTGTCATTGTTTGTTACAAGAGAATTGATTTTGCATGGACAACTTCTCACAGAATGACAGTCCTTGATTGATCTATTTATTTCCACAAGCAAGAATGCACTTATGAGCTCACTACAAGCCGTTCGTGATAGTACGCAAGCCAGTGCTCGTCTTTCAGGTTTGACAACATCCATGTGCGTGAGCGCTCTCGCAACCAATCTAACGGCGCCTTTTAGAACGATAGTTCAAACAATTTTTTACAATAGTTCATGTTCATGTCACACTGATCCATTGTGCATCGAACCAGCTAGTATCTATGTCTATCAGAATACGACGCATATCTAGACGATTCCAGGATTTTTTAACAGTTGCTTTATAGTCGAAGCAACTCTTCAATCAAATCTTGTTTTGCTCTACAATCAAAGTTGGATTGATAATTTTCGTGCACGAATTCAATTTGACCAATTCAATCCCGTCGTTTTCAAAACGGTAGCATTGAATGTCTCCCACAATAGTCAGTTCAATGTTACGACCTCAATCAAAGTCATGATGCTAAAACTGATGATTGAATCATGGTATACTGGTGTTAAGTTTTCGGCTTATTACGAACAATGTAATCCCATTGAGTGCAAATATATCTATGTTGTCAAATATGATATTGTTTACCTTGTTACTATCATCATTGGATTAATTGGTGGTCTTAGTACTATTCTTCAACTGATCATACCGTACATATTCAAAATGATACGAGATTGTTGGTTCGAACAGCGATGGTGTCCTGCAAGAGTTGTAGTCATTTCAGCAGTAGTGCCAAGAAAAGAATAGCAATTACAACATTTGAACTTTTATTCAGTGTTTTTAAGCTACTCATTGTTTGATGTCGTATTCTATTGTGATTTTATTTCTGCTTCAAAACTATACATGTTGCGAACTTCAAAAGATATACGAGAAACCTTTTCATTTATTGTATTGCCGCAGAAAGACATTTAAATCGAGCATAAAAGGCGTAACGCATTACAATCACCCGCGTTCGTTGAGTAGGATATTCTTGAGGCAAGTGAAAAATGTTTTTTTTTTCACTAACTTTTTCTTCATACTTGTTATTCTTTGATATTTCTTACAAATAGTGTTTCATTTCCGAATAGTTATATAAGAAGAGCAACATAAAGTTGAAACTCTTACGAAATAATATTTTATTAGGAAAGTTATGTTCAAGCAAACGATCGCACACTTCGTACAGAAATCGACGTATATTACACTTACAATAACAACACATTTGTAATATGTTTTTCTCTTGCAAATCGTAAGATGTACGACGTTTATTGTGTATATACGTTGATTTTTGTATGAAGCTTACGATTACTTTTGAGCCAGATAGAGTATATTATTTTTATTCATTTTATTTAGCACAACATGTTCATGGAGGAAAGGGTTGATACTTAGAAGAAATAAACTATCAAGCATAGACTACGTTTGGTCGAAAATCATATTCATACACCTTCAACTTCGCTTAAAATATCGAAAAAACAAAGTGATCTGTTAAATGTACGACCAGTCTTAAGTACCGCTTTATGTATACTTATACAAGGATTGGTTTCCATCTTAACTTATTTTCTTGTAAAGTTTACATAAATTTAATTTAAAAGTGAATAGAAATCATACAATCTTTACAATAAATATCATCGAGTTTTAGGTTAGGTTGATTTATTATTAGGATGGTATGGGTGTGGATGTAGGTGTGGGTGTTGGTCATTTATTCACCCACACCCATATTCAACATCGTTTTGATGATTGCAGTATCATTAAAACTGGGCAGAACTGAGGGAGAATGATAATGTCATCTGTAAGTATTATATGTTCACTGCCGTCATATGAAGACCTTATTGTAAATTATCGGTTCTTTGGTCAAACTGAAGGACATGGATCTTGAAGTTCATATGTATTCAAAGTATGAATAATTGAAGAATATCGTACAAAAAAATTTGATGAACTCTTTTTTTTAAGATTCAATACTGTCAAATAATTTATTTTTTTCACTCAAATCTGCTATGAGCAATGTTCTATAGAATTGTCACAGATAGACATGATCATTAGCTTAAGACATCCTTTGCTGATGCTCCATGTTTACACACTTTCTTGCCGAATATAACAACTTCATGTAATGCATAAAGTTCCACCAGTGAATAAGCTAACAGAACAAACGGTGTTGATATAAAATGAAATGCATTGCGAAGAATACAAATACATTGGTGAACATTGATCAATCGAACTATGAATCCATCAATAATAAATGCAACTAGAAATGTGAACATTTGTAAACCCAAGAGACCATACATGACATAATTAATTATTGGTGAAACATTTTTGACGATTAAATACATTGATAGCATCGATGTCAAACCGAATAAACCACCAGTGCATAACAAAATTCCATAATAGATAACGAAAACAAAGCCCCAAGAAAAAGCCGCTAATCTCGGCATATACTTTGCTTTAATAATAAAATAATGGAAGACTTCCGCTGCTCCGATAGTCCAACGGCGTGCTTGTCTTGCCCATTCCATTATTTCGATTTCAATTGTTTCACCTGACGTGGGTCCACTTATTACTGGTACAGGAATCATCGAAATTCGAAGACGTTTTTGTGTTACACCCATCCATCGAATTAGACAAATAATATCATCCATTTGATAGCTCGGATGAATAAAGTTGCCTCTTTTAGCTAGACTGAGTGAGTATGAAAAGATACTCATCGTATTGATATTGAATGGAATTAAGGCACCAAGCATCAATAAAGTTCGTAAAAGTCCCGTAACACGTGTTACAAATGATAAAGTATCTAATTTCCAATTGTAAAATAAAGGCGATTGATAGATCGTTGTCAATGCTGGTTGATTCTCTTGTAAATATTTCCAAGTCAATGAAGCAATATATTCTGGTGGAAACTTTGAATCAGCATCACATGTTGTCACCAGAATATTTTTCATATCATCATCAGCAACATTCATTTGACTAACAGCCATTCGAAGTCCATAATTGGAATTCGAACATTTGCCCGGAATTTCGTTTGCTACACCATATGGATGAATAGTAAATATAATTCGCTCAAATCCATCATCTCTGAATTTATTTTGTAAATATTTACATTTCTCTTCATTATCAGGTGTTTTCTGTTCAAAGGAGATCACCATAGTTATTCGATGCACTTCAGTCTGATTGGCCAGTGATTGAATACTTGTTGCAATCAATTCGATTGGTTCTTTGTAACAGCTGATGGCAACAATATGACGAATACGTTCCTTCTCAAGATTAAAGATCTTTTCCGTATAATTACGTGATCGATTCACATACAAGATCAGGACATTTTTCATCGCCAATACTGCAATAACTAAAAAAATAAAATAAAAGTTCGTAACGATTTTTTTCAGACTGAAAACATTCTCTAGTTTTCTTACTGAGCCACATGAAAACGAAAACACCTTGTATCGATGGTAGTAGATATAAAGCAACTTGATTCGAAACAAATGGAACCCACAACGGAAGTGGAATAACAAGCCATAGAAGAAGATTGAATACAAGATTCCAACGTAATCGTTGACTACCACTTTTCATTTCGCGACATCTGTTATCAGCCTCAATGATTTTATGTGGAGATGTTGGTTCGATGTTAATCGTTGTCTGTCGGTTGATTTCTTCATCTTGATCGAAAGATATTATGCGAGGGAATGTCTTTTGTTGTAAAATATCATTCATCGATTGTGCCTCTTGTGCTAATCGATCAATTTTTTGTTCGGCTTCTACTGAAGTTTGACGAAGAAAACTCTTCTTCGGAATTTCGAAGGTTGTTGCGGTCCATTTTTGTGTCTTATTGCACTCATCTTCCAAATAACCATAATTCTGATACTGTTCACTCAGAAATCGAAAGAGTTTTCGTGGATGATTTTTCATAGTTACGTTTATTGTTCAAGCATATTCAATTCATAAAAACTCGTCCTTATATATAGATTCAGATCGATTTGTTTGTCATCCTACATGACACTTCTTTATCTATTGCGATGTAATGATTAACGATTCTCTTGGAATTTTTTCTTGCATTAATCTATTGCGCACAGTACGATGATTAAGAAAATAGTTAAATATGACTCAAACTGAATTCGCAGTAAAGCTGCAATTGTAGCACAATTTGAATATAACCAAATACGTAAATTATTTCATTCCGGAACACTGATATGACACATGGCTAATCTTCTTCGTTCGTTTTGCCACACACAAGCAAAGATAATGCTATCGCATCAGTCATCAAAATAGAAGAACCATTGATTCGTCGAAAAAAGGATTTGACGCACTTCCTCATTGGTTGTTTTTCTACCATATGTTAGCAAGTGGATGCGAACATCCTTGCGATATATATATGCGTTTATAAGTGTATATATACACAGCGATCACTTCAGAAAAATCAATCAAACAAGTCGGTGCCTTTTGTTAACATCGGATTTTGTTGATCATTTCTACTCTGTCTACGCTTGTTGGATGATGAGCAAGAAGTTCTTTTTCTTTCTATAGACACTTTTCTGGAACATATTTCTTTTTCAGAAACCTATTTACCTCACTTATAGACAAGTCTCTTTAACAATGTTTGTTCTTCTTCTTCTACTTATTTTGATCGATCCTGTACCTGGAAAGTCAATAGCCATTGCCCGAACAAATTCTAGTATGTCAATTCCAACACTTCCATTTCCCAATTCGATATTTCAACACAAAATTCGTGGCAATGAAACCAATCAAACTTTCGTCTTGTTCGAGGCTGAATATTTAAATGAAGGTCCCGGTTATCATCTTCACACAAAAGACGATGAATTATTTCATGTTCTTGATGGCAAAGTCCAATTCATAGTGAATGGTAGTCAATTTTGTGCTTCAACTGGTGATTATGTTTATGTTCCGCGTAATGTGTCACAAGGCGTTCGAGTTTATAATCCGTCGAACAGTACTAAACGAGTCAAAATCCAAATCATGTTATTTCCATCCGGACTCGAGAATTTTCTTGATGAAATAGCTGTCTTGTATGATCAAGATAGAAGCAATCAGACAGCAATTGATACCATTTCTAAAAAATATGGCATCATTGATTTGGGACCAGTTCAGTGGAATGATCTGGGCTGTTTCGATAATAATTCCGTTCAACTACCGTCAAGTGTTTCAATGCTCATATTTTTTCTCCTGTTGAACTATATTCTTGAATAAAGTGTCTTAAATCCACTTGTGTCTAAATTATATTTGTTAAACTTGATTAACGTGTATATCGCCTTTTCGCTTTTTTTTTGAAAAATAAAGACAATTTATTTGCACAGGATACCTTTAAATAGCCGATTTCGTTTGCGCAATAATAAGCACGATAAGTTAGTGCAAAGTGAAGCACTGTATTGACTATTGACAGTTGGTTCTTTCCAATTTCAAAAAGGCACACAGTCAATACTCACGCGATGGGACGCTGAATCAACAAGTGCTGATAACGGCACTTTAATATGTTTGGTGATATTGTGAAAGCAAATTTAAAAAATTGCTATGAAGAGTGACCAGCAAGATTGCGTATTAGTAACATAGCCTCTAACAAACCCCAAACCCTGTTTAATTCGAAGATGTTATCAATCGATAGAGCTTAGAATTCTTCACTAGGATAGGGCGTGAGATGTAGGGGGCAGGTGTGGGGGTGAATGTGATGGTGGGGAGACTTTCTATCTAACCACACCCGTATTCACACACCTCCACCTCCACACCCACACCCACATACCCATATCCAAACCCACCCACACCCACACCCTCTTACTTATTTCAGAAAAGTTATATTTTTACGTGAGTATTTACTTAATCTTAGTCATTGCTTTATTGAGACCTCGATGGAGGAATTTATTCACAATGCATGAATAAAAGAAAGTATGCCAAATCGACTGTCTTAAAATATAAAACCAGCTGAGGTGTAGATTACGTCCATAGTTATCAACCTAAACTTTGCTGTTGACCCGGCATATAGCATTGACCGTTGCATACCGATTGTTTCCAGCTACATATGACGTCACTTATGCATTGCTGTTGACCTGGCGAATAACAGCGACCACTACAGACTGATTGGCCCAAGCTACATATGGCCCCACTTATACATTGTTGTTGACTCGGTGAGTAACATTGACCATTGCGTAACAATTGGCCCCATTCACAGTTTACTGCAGTGTGTCTACCATTTCAATAAATAAGAAAATGACTAATATTAGAAGTCTTGACATCATGCTATCTAAATTATAATGATTAGACGGCTTATTTTAGCTAGAAATCGATTTATATTCTTTCACATGGGTAACAATAATGACACACATCAACAAATTTGAAAAAAAATGAGATCTGTGCAAATGTGCTATAATGACAGCGTTCAACATAGATCGATAGCAAGGACAAAGGTCCAAAATGAAAGTCAAACAGTCAGAATATTATACCTGTAGATAAAGAGCTCGTAATAAAATCTTTTGAAACCGAACATATCTCAATATTATCCTCAGATCGAACCGAACAAGTTGTCTGTTTCGTAGGGAATTTCATGTACATTACGAATACGAATGTTTTAGGTATTCATAAACGCCTTTGAATACTAGAAGTAAAAATATTGAGTGCTAGTGGCAGTATTAGGACTAAAATGTCAAATTATGACTCTAAAAATACTATGTTTTGTACTCAAGAGACAAGCAACAGTTTTCTTATTTCTCTAGCTCTATAATATGTTCTTTTTTCAATGAAAGATGTTTGAATAGAAATCATAAACATGAATAAACACCAATGATCTTACAGGAAAAGTAAAAAAACTAATTGAATTCTTTGCCGTGCAAACGAAGTGGTGTTACAATACGTGACTATGCCGCAAATGCTTTGCATAAATAGTGGTATAACATACAACTTAAGTTACTACTAAATACTAACTTGATTAGGCAGTAGTTGGTACTAAATCTGACACTTCCAATTAAGAATATATCTGGCTTTAACCTGCGTTAGATATGTAGACTGAATGATACATAAACTAGGGCTATCAATCTAGATTAAAAACTCACAATTGTAAACAGCTGTTTGACGACTGAATATGATGAAACACGGTAGTTGTATACAACGACAAACTGTCAAATACGATTAGTATTAACCATGAACGTAAACGATACTCGTGTACTACTATCGTATATGATCGTAACTTACTCGCTAGTTGACATGGCTATCTTGATCAAGATTTGCTTAGGAATGCGACACTGAATCTTATAGTCAGTATGAATCAAAAGTATTGAACTGTATTGATTTTTACTTAGATTTCTCTCAACGACAGATCCAATCGTAAGTATAACTGTGAAAAAATAAAATAAATTTATTTTATTAAAAACCAAATTGATTTAATTTTTTTATAACACTTGTGATTAGATCTGTCGCTGATATAAGTGTAAAAAAACTATTTATTTATCTATTTAAATAATTTTTTTTGTTTATGCAGGAAGTACGGGAAAGTGGTGCTCTCTCCTTCTCATTTCTCTTTACTAATGAGAATATTATGCGATAACAATGATCAATGATATTATATACGATGGTGTACGACGTTGTCCGCTGGGCCTAAACACATCGTTTTTCGTCGTAAAGGATAAGACGACACAGGTTCATAATTCTAAGGTCAAGTCATGAAATAAAATACAATCATATCATAATTCTCAGTGAAATGCAGGCATCGTAAAAGTCACTCTATTCTACATGGTTTTTGCGGAGACTATTTTATGTGTGAGAGCTACTGCAATCATGTCTATAGATTGCATATTCCGAGCATTTTCAATCAAAGCTTCTTTGTCGTTACTTACTGATCATTGAAATATCTCATTTCCATGGTCTTTGATATTTTATTATTAGTATTTACTCATGGGTTTCAATTTAATTTTATTGCAACACTAGTAGAATTGAAAATCAAGCATACTTACATGCTAAGTGATAGTGAGTTTACGAGTATTATATTTTGTGTTTGTAATTAATTTTCGTTTCGTATTTATATTTTATGACATTATCTTTTTTTCCAAATTATGTTAACTTGAGTGAGTCAATACATAATAATAATTTCATCATGTAGGTAGTATTTTGTCACGAATATACGTATTTTCACATTTATTTCGTTCTTTCAATATTATTCGTTCAACTTTTTTTATCTTCTCTGATGTTTCATGTGTTTAAGATACGAATACATACATTGATATTTGCATAAACGAACACATTACATGGGAATTTCGAAATTTTTTTCTAATGAGTAAATAAAATGATGGTCATCTGATCTCATATATGAGAAATGCTAGTAGTAGGTTGTTGAACGACGCATTTTTTCACGTTGGCGATTCGTTGCATCAATCACAAAAGAAATTGTTCCTTCAGAAGAATTGATCGATGAACTATCCTTTTGTAATTCAATGATAGATAAGCATTATTGGTGGTTATTCGTGAGCAGGCATGAAAATCACATGCAAGATCATAGTGATTGTCATAACCAAATGTAAAATAAACGGCGCACTTTGTTGATTGTCAGAAGGTTTGTACATAGGTCTTCAGTCGTAATTGAATCATGGACTTCAAGTACGACATGTCCAAATAGAATTTGTAGAAAAAGTAGAAAGCTACTGACTCTGAAAAGTCAAAGAGGCTTCAAAGTACGAGTCTGAGTAGATGAATAGAAGACATACATCCACGTTCTCGAATTCTGAACAGCATGAAGTATTTAGTTAATCAAAAGTCCCACTATTTTTTTTCTAGACACTTTCTATGGTCAAAAATGTTGAACATTTTTTTTCATTGAATTATAGTGAAACGATTTACCATTTGATGCGAAATCCGATGCTATTGACGAATAATTGGTTGGTTTTAACTTTTTTCGTTTTATCCTGATTCAAACTGTGACTTTTCGGAAAACTATGAAACTTCATAACGAATATTAATGTTAGTTTCTTATTCGATCCAGTTGTGCTTGTTAAGAAACTACTTACTATTCTGAATATCTGTTGAAAATTAGACAATGTCAATATAGAACACGCATTTATATGTCGCTTTGTTTTGCATTAAAATGCTAAACTCTCACGCTACCCTAAAAGAAAGAATTCATTTTTTGGAATTACTTAATAGCCGGCAGTTTGTAAATACTTCAGCTGATGTAAAAGGAAAACCAATGAAATTTTTAATGATAATGAATCGAAATGATGTCTATTTATGATGAAAATTCTAAGAAGTTTGCTACTATCGTTGAGAAGACTTAAATAACATAATGTAAAAAAAATGAAATTTCGTAACATTTGGTCATATCATTATGATAGAACGAACGAAAAAAAATTACTTTGCGTTTTTTTTCTCTATTCGTTCTTTTTAATCATCATCGAAAAACATCAATACATGAATCATTATTAATGAATGAAATGCTAACATTCTTTTTCATATATGCTTTTGTTTTATGTTTTTCAATTTATCTTGTTAATCATACGATTTTTTATCAATTCATTCCTATTTCATTATATTCAACGAAAAAAGTGATCATTTTATACAATGTACTATTGATGAAAGAGTTCGATTACAAACAGATTCACTTGATCAGACTTTTACTTTTACATATATGATTAATTTACTTACTGAGTTTGTTTGTCATTCCGGCATTGAAATTCAAAGTTGTTCATTCGTTTCTATCCTTAAACATCTATGGGATACACTTGTCGATTATGAAACAACAGAACGATTATGGTTTTTTGTTAAATATTGAAATAATTTATTAATCAGTGCTAGTAAAGAAACAAATCTTGTTTTTTTTTTATAAGAAATGAATCGTATTAGCTTAATTAATTCTCTAACTAATAACTCATTATATATTCATTCTTATTCAAAGATCAACGCTTGGTGAAGGTGAAATGATTTTAAAAAAATTACAAAATAATATTTTAATATCTTCTCTATCAATTCTTTACACCTTATCAACAGTAAGTCAACAAATATTCAATAAAGATATCATTGTAAATAAAAAGTTATTAATTACTTTTTAAATCGAATGTTCAATTTATACGTCTTATGTCACGTTTACTTTATGCAAATATTTTGAAATTAAAGCTGAATATGGAGTGAGGGTATGGAAGTGAATCTTTTTCCCACACATACATTGCATTAAAATATAAAAGATAGAGTTTGATGAAAAACAAAACATTTCGAGACGAGTTTTTTTTAATGAACGATCTTGCTTCTTTCCGTTCATAAAATACAATTATAATACAAATACGAGAGTGGGTGTGGGTGTTGATCGAAGAAGGAATACATCTACACTCACACCCACACTATACTCATTCTTAAACCGTTGTCTGTAAGCTAGTATTGATGTTAACCAGTCGAAAGACATACGCAATCTCTTCTTTTTGATGAGCAAACAAATTTTCAATATTCTTGTTTGTTGTAAAAAGAAATATATTATTATATAGAATCAATATGAAATTGGTCTTTTGAGCAATGCACTGATTTATAAAAAACGAAAACTATTAATATTTAGATAATAGCCAAGGTAAACGCAAAATAATTTTATTTTATGAAAACTAAAATTTGAATAAATAATTATGAATAAAGGTTCTGAATAATTCAGTATGTATTGAGGCACATTTAAGATGTATGTTTTGTTGTCGATACGTGTTTTCCACATGACCATCCTGTTTTAGCTAGATGTTTTTCAGCTGCATTTATAGCTCCCTGTTCTATGCTTGTACCCATTGAATCATTCCATCGATTGAGATATCCGAATAAACTGATCACACCTAAAATTTCGACTATTTCACCATCATCCCAGTGTTTATGTAAATTTTCAATAATGGAACTGTTGACACTATTGGGTACTGTCGATGCGGCTACAGCAAAATCGAGAGCTGCACGTTCGGCATCATTGAAAGCAGAATGAGTAGAATACTCGCAGATGTGCTTCAGTTGTTCTGAAGCAGCTCCATAACGTTCAGCTGCTAAAATAGTATGTGCTTGACAATATAGACAACCTGCTTTCGAACTAGAAACATAGCCAATAAGACGTTTTAAAGCACTGGTCACACGTCCATGATTAGTCATCACTGCTTTGTTTAATTTAATAAAAGCGATGGCAATAGCTGGCCGATGTTGCATAGTAAGTACACTATTTGGACAAAAACCTAATGTCTCGTTGAAAAACGTAGCCATTTCTTTTATTTCATCGTTTGTATCTAGAGGCAACGGCGAAACGAGAGGTAGCGACATTTCTATACGATTTTCTCTTGTTTTAATACAGTTAAGATCTAAAACATACAAAGAATCTTCAGAATAATTTAATATATAAGTGAATCGAAACAATGTTTAAATAAATTTTGTGCCTTATTCATGTCATTCTATTGTGTTTTTTCATCAACAAACACCTGTTGAGTTGATAGAATGAGATATGTCAATAAAACACACTTATCGTTCTAGCAAGTGCATAAAAAGATAGAGGTAGTTCTCTCTCGTTTATCATTTGCATTAATTTTTAAGTTTTATCTTAACAGGTGAAATCGGTCTCATGTTTTAGACGACTTGAAAATGGCTACCGTTTTTCGTCGTTTAGGGTATTTGTTACGCCGTTTTTTGACTATTTCAGACGGTCGAATGCTGCGTCTGGAGATAATTATGTAATTCGTAAAAGGTTTCTCTCTCGCCTCTTGCAAGGATAGCGTTCACTTTTCATTTAATGAAACTTTAAAGTATTCGTTATCAAAGAAAAATGATCACGATGTGGATGTAGATGTTAGCAGACAATTGGAACGCACTCTCACACACGGTAGACAAGGGACAAAAACAAACAATGAAGAATTAGATGTAAACTGAAGCCTTCTGATTTTGTATTGACATATTGACACATACTTAAAATATACGGTTAGTCTTTTTTGCAAACATGAAAGAGAAGGGCGAAAGCATGCAGATAAACATCGACACAAAGTGACGGTTCAGCCAAAATAAATTAAACTATTTGTATTTTTAATATGTCTTCTCGAAAGATAACGCTTAAGATTTCGCTTAGAATGGGATTATTTATTTAACGAATATAGTTTCATGCATTTTTTGTATTAAACATAATTAAACCATAAAATGAAGTGTAGAATCTAAAATTTTCTCTTTTTATATCTTTTTGATCGAACGTTTTATTGTATCTATCGATACTACTTTCGTTCTAATGTGGTTCCCATTTCATAACTTAAGTCAATTTATATCATAAACTGTAATTCGATGGACATAAATCAGACTGATTCATTGACTAATGGTTCTTAGCAATGAATGCACGAAAATGGTCTGTAAACTATTTTCCATTGAGATGACGTGTGCAAACCTGAAAAATGTTTCGCTAACATCCAATTTGCCAGTAGTGTCAAACTTGAACGTTGAGTTCAATTGAAGTTTCGAATTTCAACTGAAATTTCAAATCTCAACTTTCAAGTTTTCGAATAATCAACGTCTGGAATGCCACTAGAATTGCCTAACATCGACAGAAATTGTCTAGTTTCCTACTAGCATCGTCTGGCATGCTACAGGGATTATCTAAGATGCTACAGACATCACCAGGAATCCTACAACCATCACCTAAGACGTCACAAGCATCGCCTAAGATGCTACAAGCTTTGGTTGAGATGCTTTAGATATTATCTGGGACGCTACACAACGTACGTGACAAGCTCGAACTATCATGCCGAACTGAGTGGGAGTAACAGTGTACACATAGACGTACTTGGGTCGCGGCTGTTTGGGGGGCGCTTGGTGCCCTCACGCCGTGACACTGAAATAAAAGGTATGTTAGGCGGGAAAAAGCGCTTCCTCAATGAATATTCCAACAGCATGGAAGTTGAAACTTGAAAATTGAAACTTGAATTCAAGTTTCAAGTTTCAAGTTTTACATATATAGTGCATTGCAATCTGTGGTACAAGCTGAGTTTCCTGAACAACTTACACAAGAAATGTGCGCCCAAGCGATGGAAAAAGAAATGAATATGAAATCATGCTTAGCGTGTCGTTGCAATGGGTACCAAACGAACTTCACAACTTCTATATATATGTGACAAATCTACATTACTTGTAGGACAATTGCGTCGATCTTGAAGAATACTCACCAGCAATTGCAATGGAAAAAAAAAACTTCCATTAGAGTCAGAAATGAAAGCAAATGATTTTCAAATTACTCACGCTCTTATTTGCGATCAATGTGAGATGACAAGAGGTAACTTTTTCTTATGAGAGAAATGTACATATGCAAGGAGTGCTTCCAGTTTGGAGGATGTGGATTGAGTTGAACTGAAGACTCACAGTCATACACACAAGCACTCACACATACCTTTTGTCACATATTAGTCAGTGAAATGAAACAAGGAAAAAGAGAAACACCTAGGCAATTAATTTCAAATATTTGAATAAATTTGTTAAAATTGCCTTATAAACAACAGTTGTTTACAACTAAGTTTTATTTTACAAGATGCTTCTGATGAGTTCATATAAAATTGTAAATTTATTGTACAAACATTTCTCTTTTTTGCTGTCTCATTTACACTCACACCAAAAGATGTTTGTCGAAGAATTATAGGAAACAACATTTTGTGCTAGTTTTTCTGAATCTCAAAAAATGTGCGATATGTTTTTTAAGAGTATTTCTCTTTTCTGTTATGTCGTTTTGTTTATGAATGTGGGACAAAAATAAATTGTATATGAGTCGAAAGAAGATAAAAAGCTCGATATTTTAGTAAAACACTTCGTTCAGCATCTTCTTATTGAAGAAAAACATAAAAAGATATCACTAAAATACAAAGAGATTCATTATTTTTGGAAGACTCGTTTGAATGAGGAGCTGTAGTATTTTCATTTGATATTACAAGTCATTTTCATGCATTATTAGAGTGGGTGGGTGTAGGTCTTTATCTTATCTTCGCTTAAACCCACGCTCACACCCAAGTCATTGACTGCTCAGTGAAAGAATATCTTCTGTGACAAATTTTATTAGACAATAAAATATATAGTGATGAAAGGATAATGATTATTGCATGCGTTAGAGGTGTATGTTCATATTTCAAAAAGAATCAAGTGCATCAAGCTTCTGAAAAGTGTACGGTTGTGAAATAGTATTCTATTAATTCTACTAACTCTTATCGATATATATACACATATATAGATGATCTGTGTGACCGTTGTAACATTCGAGTTGAGAAAATCATGAAAAATGAAAGCAGCCCAATTATAGTTTTAAGTACATCGTTGGAAAGGGGATTCTAAATTACCTGTAATGCCATTGTTTTCCTACGACCAAGTTTTAAAAAAGTCGAGTTGTAAGACTCCTACGAGATTTTCAGCATATAGATAACACTTTCTGACAAAAAGAACATTTGGGAAGTTTTGTTGCTTTTCTCTCTAAGCCAGAATAAGTCTGACTCACTCTTTTGTAGGAAGTATTTGGCCGGTGTGCTCTTCTTTTGTGATAGGTTTTCAAAAAACTCAATTGCCTTCACGCGAGGAAAAAATCATTATCTAGGTGTCGTTACATTTTAGACGTATTTTTCTTTTTTCTCGATAAGAACTTGTACCATCAAACACATTTTTCAGCACTTGAAGATGAGAAGAAGAAACAAAAGGATATAAATTTCAAGCCGAATTGCTTTATCTTTCTCGAAAATATACGCGGCAAAATTAAAAAAGTGATGTTACATCTAGCATGAAAACGATCATTTTTCAGAATTCTTGCCGGTTGTCTCCTCAAAACCTAGCAAGTCCAGCAGTGGTTTTTCATGGAAAGTATTTCGCCGGAGTTCTCTTCTTTTTAAGACATTGCGAAAAACTCTCAATAATTATTAGGTAAAGGATTTTTTAGGTGGTAGTAAGAACAAGTGAGACAAGTATATGGAAAAAAAATTTGTCTGAATCAGTTGACGGAGACGGCTGCTATTTCCTAAACACACTTTCAACAGTAACGGTACAACAACCATGCAACTCATCAATATATATATATGTTACGATAAACGAATTCTCGCAAAAGAGTGCATCGATCGCAGCATTTGTATGGATACTGGTTCTCATAGACTTGACTTTCCCCTGCACCATAGAGACCAAATGTATATGTTTCGCCTAGATAGAAAAAGTAAGTCAAATGATTTGAAAAAACTTGCTGAGAAATCGTGTTACCTGACTTTTTGGCCAATGTGTAATCGATTTCTTTGATGCGAAGACATTGAATAGTACAACGTAATCGAATAATTCTTCCCTCTTTGTTGTAATGTTTCTTTCGATACTGTTCACGAATGTTGGTCCGTAAATCATCAGGCAATTCGACGCAAGTATCAAATACGGTGTCAAGCGATTCTGTCGAGGATCAGGTATCGTCGAATTTGAGACAAGTGACTTTGCTTGATGCCTTGTCTATTTCTGAAGCCGGAAGAATAGTGCCGCTACTAGCATCCTGAGTGATCGATGATTCATGATTCTCCCATTTAACATGCAATTGATGGTAAATAAGAATAAAGCGAAGAGTTTTGCAATCAGTACACGGCATACGACCACGAGTGAGACATGTCGGACAATTGGTTTTGACTTTTCCCGAACATTTAGCACACGTATAAGAACCATTACCCTTGCACTTCGAACAGTTTTCATTCTGACAACACTCAATTGAACCTTTGCCATGGCATACGTCACAATCCACAGAGCCAAAACCTAAGCACTTGGAATATTTGATTTCTCCAAGTCATTAACACCTCGCACATCGCGAACGACTTCTTCAGGTTTCTCATCACCAAGTAGAGTTTTAGTCGGTCGATCGAAGTGATAATCGTTCTAAATGTTGCCTAATGGTTGTTGGGGTGTAAGTTCATCACCGTACCATGGCACTTTGACTTGGGTTGTCCAGCGGCTTTCGTTGAGTATCCACATATGAGCAGCATAACCTAACATTGCTCGCTCGTTGACAATCCGAGCATGAGCCAATGGGCGAAAATCGTAACAATAACTGCATGACTTGTTTTCCATGTATGTCCGAAGCTTGATAAGTGTGTTCGATTCGTGTGCTGCTGATAATTCATCGTTAGACGACGCAGACATTTCATCAGATGTCACACCTGTATTTCAAGTAGGAATCTAGAACAGAATCGTGGTTGCATCTTGGGTTTTTAGGAAAATATTAGCTAATATTTGGATTTCATAAC